ATGGAAGATGTAAAGGCTCAAACATCAAACAAATCGCAGGTGAAAAAAGCCTGTCTTCATTAAACTAGATTTTGAAGGTGGAAACATTGCAGCAATGGTCAAGAGAAGACTGAGTACGTCATTAGCCAGACCTTATCCTACAGCTTAGTTGGTTCCCATCCATCGAACAACATGCTCTTTGGTGCAGTCAAAAGTCGACAGATACACTTCTCATGTTAACTCCAACCGTGTATACAAATTTACGTGTATCTGCGGTAGCAGTTACATTGGGAGGACAGAAAGAAGGGCACACCTCCGATTTTCTGGACATGTACCGAAAAGCCTAAGTCTCAAGGGAACAAACGCTTACAATAGTGCCATTACCAGACATCTTCTCGATACGGGTCATGAGGTGAAAATCGTGAAATCCTTTAAAATTATCAATAGAAAAAGCAGCTCGATTCCCCTCAAGTTTTCCGAAGCAATTTCTATCAAAGGCTTGAAACCCGATTTATGTGTTCAGAAAGAAGCAGTTATCAGTAATTCCTTGCCACCCTGGTAACAAGATGTCTTTAATCTCGTTTCCATTTCATTACATAATCTTTGGCTTTGACGTCAACCCCTTTGATAATTTGTAATTTTGCTTGTCTCTTGTTTCTATGATTTGAGTTGAACTCAGTACATTGTTACCTAATTTATTAGTCACTAAGCAGCTTATGCGCCTCCCGCCTTAATTAAGTAACGCCTTTACCACTGTATGCATACATTTATTTTGTTTAAGCTTGAACTGCCTGTGTAAAACTATATAAGCGGAATTTTCTGAGCACTGTTCACTTATTGCGGAACCTTCTGTCAGCTGACATCATGTAAAATTTGCAAGTATGTTAAAACTTTTCTGTTCATCAACCTCATAATTTATTTAGGTTCTAAGCATCTGAGTTCATAAGAATCCAAAGAAATAAGCAATTATGGTATTATATTATTCTGCACAAACCATACTGTTGTTCTTGCTTTATTCAGAGATCAAAATAACAACTCTTATTATTCCTATAGTTCGAAAACAATTGATTATTTGTTCATGCATTCTAAGGTCACCTAAATTTTATTCATAAACTGCTTACGCTCTAAGTGCTTCAAAGGGATTCAACGGCACATTTGCATTCCCCTCAATCCTCTAACGTCATTTTTAACTAACACCTCACCACATGACTATGTCCATACCACCCATTGGATCTTTCTCCGCCAAACATCTAACTTCTCTTTCGTTGCTGACTGGTGTGCAGTATCATCTGAAAGCCTCTTCAACAAGCATATCCGCTCCGTCTCCATTTCTCTCTGCATATTTTGTTGTTCTCGACTGCTCTGTTATCTACTAGAGTTCCTTCAGTTTTTTTATCCTTTCTAGCCGACCATCTGATCCTCAGAAGCAACACATAGACAGCTGTGTTGATGAGAATCTGTAGTAGGTTGTTGGAGACAGTTTTTGTGATGAGTCTTATTCGTCAAACGCGTTGAATACTGTGGATTTTCAAACTGATTTAAGAGTTTACCTAAAGAATTGATAAGGTTTTGAAAGATCTATAGACTTTCAATTTTCTTCGTTTTAAACAACTTGTATTTACCGCGAAAAACAGTGAAGCTTCTCTTTTAGGTATTCAATTCACCCATAACATGATTACTGGGCACTTGTGTTATTCACTTGTCAGTAAACTGAGTGTGACTGCTTTCATTTAAATGATCCAGACAGACTGATATCACTTAGAGAACTAATGAAAACCAGCAATCCCTGAAAACTCGTTTCGTCCTTATTTTGGGGACTGACTCTTCAGCCGTACGAACTTTATTGAGGTTAAAACTAAGGACCTTCCGGTTATATTGGAAGTTTGTAGACCATCCAGCCACTGAGAAATGATTCATCAGCCAGCGCATGAACTCCAACGTTTACCAATTCATGATTTTTGCGCGAACCGCCAGCCAGTGACATCGGCGACGAGTATTTATCCTCACACTCTACCTGGTGGATTCCGTCGATAGTGAATTCCTACTAAAATTCCAGACGACTTCGTCGTGTAGCTTGTCACCCAGTTGGGAGAATCAGCTACATCTTAAAGGGTTGATTTGTAAGAATTTGAGTTGTTTCACGTTTGGTCTTGGATAGACATCAGTCAAGGTAAATTTTCTATGTCAGGTTAATATAAGGAATCAATGGGATGTGTAAATTGCTTGTAATTTACTCAGTTTAGTATACTACACTGAAAGGCTGCAAGAAATATTCAGGAAAACGACTCAGCCTCATAAAACCTACTATGATATTAGTGAAATGCAAGGGAATGGAGGTAATGGGTGGGTTGGACAAAAACGCACTACGTGACATTCAATTGAAATCTCACATGAGGCATCCCCATGATTGCCAAGTTAGATGGGGAATCCACTGAAAGCGGGAGAAATATAAGTTTGTGAGCCCTCTATACATCTATATATATATATATATATATATATATATATATATATATATGGCACCGGAAGCAAGGCAGTACGAAAAACTGGAACGGTAAATCCCCTTGTCTAGTGCAGATCAAATTGCAACTCTAAGCATCATCATCGAACAGAGGATAGAATGGAATTCAAGTCTATACTTCATCTTCATTGACTCTGAAAAGGCTATTGACAGAATTGACCGAGAAGTAATTTGGAAACAAATTCAGCACTATGGAATGACCCAAACATTTATCAATCTCATTCGACAGATACATGAGAATGCAAAATGTCAAGGGATCTACAGTGGAAAATACAATGAAAACAGAATTTAGACAAGGTTGCCTATTATCACCGATGGTAATCCTGATTCTAGTGGACTGGATCATGCGGAAAACAGTATATGTGGATCTAGAAGACTTGATTATATTTAGGCTGCTAGGAAAAATATAGAAGATCTGTACCTCCTCAACGATTTTTGTCTGATGTCATATAAACTTGAAGAGTTGCTGGTGAAAACCAAAACACTGGCGGAAGAGGCTGGCTGGAAGCGAAGACAGGACTTCAGGTGATCGCAGAGAGGACGGAGGTAATGAAGGTCGACACCAACCAACTAACCAACAGCAACAACAACCAGCACCAATCACCACCACCGGAAGAGATTTGACAGAGGTTACTTCCTTCGCTTATCTGGTCAGGAAGCACGGTTTCAATCACAGGCAGTCGGAACGGATTAAGATGTGAAGATCAAAGTGGATCAGAAAGGCAAGATACGCCTTCATCAAACCGAAACCAGTTTGTAAATCTGCACTCAGCCAGCATAAAGATCGAAATTCTAAATTCCAACACCAGTGCTGAGTCAGTCAGTTCTTAGTGAAGGTACTACGAAAACATTTCGAACAGGCTACTGCTGTAAATATGGTCATTAGCTAACTTTATTGCCTCCATATCGAAGGTCAGATGGCCAAGAATGATAAGCAACAACAAACTCTGGAAAGGTGCCAGCCAAGAACCTGCCGCTCAGTGAATATGACAAGGAAAATCAAAATGGATCAGACAAACACTAAAGAGACTATTGTTAGACACTGAGCGCCGGATCATCGCCCGAATGGAACCAGAATGGGAGACGTTGAGTTGGGTGTGTGTGTGTGTGATCCCAGGTGAAATGCAGGAGACTATGGGCAGTCGTACAGACAACCAAAAAAAAGAACTTCAGCGAACCGGGGGAAATTTCCAATTTAACAAAATTATAGCCAAGTGAATGTTTGGAGAAAAATATTTAACTCATTTTGTTTTAATTAAAACAAATATCTAAATATTTTTTGGCGGTAAATTGAACATTAAATTGATTTTATTATTCTCAGATTAATGTTGTATTAACTAATGATAATACTTGTGGGCATGCGCCTCAACTCTCCTGAACCAACCACCCACACATACTCATTTATACATACACACACACACACACAGTGGAGTTGAAGAGTGGAGATAACTTTCCCCCCCCCCCCAACCTATTTTACTTTGTTACAGTTAACCCACTTTTGCATAAACAAGTGGGACTGAACAATATTATTACTATTATCATTATTAGTAGTAGTATTGGTAGTATGGTTTTTCTAGGGTTAAAAACAATATGAAAATATTCTTTCTAGTCAAACTGAAGAACCAGTGTGTTTTCTCTTGTGACATATCTCTTTTCATCCTGTCATCATTCCTTGACTCTCTTGCATTCCAAGTAGAGGGGCATAGATACAGCACTTCCTTGGAGGCGGGAGTTGATGGTTAGGGGTGGAGGCGTCGGGGGCGGGGCGGCTGCAGTTTTTTACTATGAGGAATTTCAGTTTAGTTTCAGTCACCTTCCCTCTTTTTGTTTGTTTGTTTGAGAGGTTAAACCGTAGAGTATGTCAGTAGGGAATCGAACTCACAGTTCCTGTATGGCTGACTGGGTGGTTGGTTGACGGACCGCCAACGCAAACATTAACAAGTCCACGTTTATTTAATTAATTATTTATATATATTTATATACATATATATCATGCTATATAAAAGTCATTATTACAATTGGTCAATTTTATGTTGGGATTAAAAAATACCTTGAGCTTGTGTTAACTGTTGCTATAATTATTATGTGAGATGTGTAAACACACATAGATAGATAGGTAGATAGGTAAGTAGATAGGTAGATAGATAGATATCTGTGTGGTTGGAAAGATGGATGGATGGCTAGATAGATGATTTAAACACCTCCTTGTTCTCTTTTCACTACTTTATTATTTTTTTATTGTTCAAAAAATAAGCTGACTTTTATTTAACCAATCATAAATTCTGGAAAATCTGTATAAATATCCCAATTAAATTGTTATTCAAACAATATGTAAGAGAACCGAAGGCAGTCACTGATTCGGTTGATCCCGTTGTCTCGCTCGCTCGCTCTCTCTCTCTCTCTTGTCTCTCTCCATCTTCGTCGGTTTCAGTATCTCACTATCTCTGTCTCTGTCTCCGTGTTTGTGATTGTGTGTGTGTGTGTGCGTGTTTCAGTGTCAGTGGAAGTCTGTACGTCTCCTTTGTGATTGATTCGTACAGACACAGTTCTACAAGAGATCTAACACTTCGATCTAACACTCATAACTGATCAATCTCTTTTGATCCCACAGATTATATAAGTGTAACTCCAAACAAAATCTATCCACATCTACACAGACATTATAATTGTCGTGCGCCTTTCAATCAGTATTGTTACTATTATTATTATTATTGAAACAAAGGGAAAACCGTATTACTATTACATAATACACATGAAGTGGCCAATTGAAATGATTTTCTTACTAATGATCTATTCAATAATGCTACACTATTTACCGCATAGTCATGGTACCTCTTTAAACCGGGTAAGTTGAATTTATTTTACATTTATTTTGCTTTTTGTTTCATTAAGTTCATTTGCTATTTATATTGTATTATGTAGAACCGAAATATTGCACCTTAACTGAAAATATGGCCTAGCGCCTAGGAAGGAGGCTTCACACAAAGGGATGACTAGTAGTAATGGGAACACCAAAATCAATGACTGACTGACTAACCCACTTACTGTGTAACTGTAAATGACAAGTTTTATCCAGTTGACGAGTCCGAAATAAGACGAAATCCACGCCTTAAGCCATGCTGCTAGATAACTTCTGTATTGAAATCCACAAAGCACAGTAGAATGCGGTATTACATCATTTTTGTAAGTATTGGTTCCCACAAAGATTTGGTTGATTGCTAAGTCAGATCACAATTTGATTTCAGTTTGACAGAGAAAGAGAGAGGAGGAAAACTATTTTTGCGTTCTTCATCGGTTTATAATTCTGAAGAGTCTCACTAGAGGGAAGGAAAGAAAAGTGCTTCATAAAAGTACTTTTTAAAAAGATACTATACGTAGGTTTTGACTAGTGGAACAACTAGGGCTTTAAGCTTTGAGGTGTAAGGTTTCAAAGAGCTGTGGTATCTTTCGTTCAATGACATGAGGTCTACTAACCTCTCACACATAGACACAAACCCAACTCAACCAAAGCATCTTTATCAGGACTACTGTACCTACAGGCTAATAAACTAAGGGAGGTTTGTAGAAGCGTTTCGACCGAGAATCAAAGTCTCACTAAGTGCGTAGGTGGTCAACAGCTACTTCAGCTACTGAAGTCCCGTCTTTTGAAAATGGGATTCATTGAGTTCGATGTTTTAGATAGTGTCAAATAGAAGAACTTTTATGAGTAGTGGTTTTTGTGTTGGTCATCGTCATAGACTGGTAAACTACTGGTGATTTAGATGTCCGGGTAATGATGAAAGTCGGAATCTTGATAACATTTCAACTATTGACCTATGGATTACTAATCTCTTGACCTATGAGTTGAAACTACAAGTCTCAACTACAAACTAGGCTGTTATTTTGTTGTAATTGTACTCACCAGATAGTGTGAGCAAATGTTACGTAACTAGCCGTGTTTATCTTATATATGCATTAAAAGATGTTCATTACAATATCAAATTGTTTATGTAATACTTTGTATATGCATATATAATCTGGTGTTATTTAGGCGTCAGTATGATTATTATTATCATTATTATTCCCTTGGGCTCCACGTGGGGCGCAGGAATTCAAAAGTACATCTCTCTTTCACTCTCTTCTTTAAGAAGTCTTTGATAACTGTCTATACCATCGCCTATAAGTAATAATTTCTTTTTCAAATCATTCTCGGAATAGTCGTTTCCCAGATTTCAGGTTCTACCCAACATCCTGCCAGACTTGTGAAATGTATATCACTGAAACTGCCACTTCAAAGTGTAAACCCAATCCATCCATCTCCATCTTTTTCTGCATATTTGTGCAGCAGGCGATAGGATCTTGAATTTTTCGTTACCTGCCGGCTGTGAACTCATAATACTATTGAATAACCCACGTTGAATAAGGCAAGTTGGCGAAATGTCAACGACAGAAATCTCTACAGTAATCAGTGGATCCTGAGTTCGAACCCCCACCTGGCCAGTATTACTGTAGAGTCACAAACTAGGCGGACGAAACAGCTGTTCAGTACTTCCAACTTGTTTTTCAGTAGTTTTCTAACTTATACCAGTTGATGGTGGAATCCACCAACCAATAATAATTATAATAAATCATTGTAATAGAGGCAGAAGGGAGTAGGTTAATAGCCGGATGAATGATTTTGTAAGTGTAAAGAAAGCAGCTGGAATGAAAAGTAGCTTGTATGTGTACCGTGTCACAACTTAGGCAAAAGTTTCTTCAAAAGTATTAGCAAAATAAAACACTTAACTGCGTGTGTGTTCACAGTAAAAATTTATGTGAAATAGTATATATATATAATTTTATTCAACAGGCTATCAAATATTCAGTGATAAAACTTTATTCGACTCAGTATAAATTAGATTCCTCTGTACAGATATTCCTTTACAGGTTTGATCTTAGGCTGACATCAGTTAGAGAACCATTAGGAAACCAGACACCGATTACTGGACACTTGTTTCGTCCCTGCACTTGGGACTGCCTCTTCAGCAGCACTACGCACCCATTGAGGTTCAAACATAGTACCTTCCGAAATGAAGACGAGCGTGCAGACCACTCTGCTATTGAGATTCGATGAGTTTAAACCTCTTCCAATCAGCCAGTGTCAAAAGCGGGTAACTGTTTTCTTGCCTGACTTGATGAACGCCACTGACCACGAATTCCTAATTAAACTGGAACTTCAGATAACTTACTGCTATTCAACTAGTTAAGACAGGTGTTAAGACCACCAGAAATCCACTGAAATAATCCCTTTTTCCTCGTGATTTTAGTCGTTTCACAAGTATAATGTGATATATATCAAGTCTTTAGTGATATCACTCACACCTACCTAGTAGTGAATACGTTTACCCTGGTCATGTAGACACACAATCTGAGTCGATTAACAAGCAACATGTTAATGTTATTACTCAGAAATTCAAAAACCTTTTGACTATTTAGAAAGTACCAGTTAAAAGAAATAAATCATTGAGCTCCGTCTTCGTGCCCCCCCACCCGTGTCCTCATTATACGATTGATTCACACTGGAAGACAAGTATCTTTCAATACCATTCACTCGAGAGAACTTTACACTACTCACACATAACCGAATTATTAGCTTTCCAGGAAGTGAACTTTCGACTTCTCAGTTCAAAAGCATTGCATATGTGTCAACTCATCTTAACCATGAGTAAGTGAGTAACATTCTTATTCTCCGAAGACATATAACCTCATACTGAGTTACATTCCTTCCTAATGAATGTCCCTTTGAGCGCAAAACTTTGAAAAACTGAAAGACGGTGAGTATATATGTTAACGTTGAAAAAAACCCAGTAAAACTTACTTCCATTTCATTTCCACCCATGCTTGAATGGATGGAACAGAGGCGACCAGTCATGATTTTAAGAAGTTCCTTCAGGCAGATTGTCTCTTTTGTGATCATCTATAACGTGCTTGGAAGAATACTGGGATAATAATAATAGTAATAATTATGAATATTTGCTTTATTCTAAAACAGTACTTATAATACAGCGCGGAATTTTGAGCATTTGGTACAATTATTATTTTTTTCCTTTACGTTCCCCAGTGGAACATAGGGCTTCGACCTAGTGGCTTGAAGTTTCTGTAGCAGTATTGATTTTTAAAGGATGGGTTTGCTAGCCTCATGCCTGACCTTTCCTCTTCACCAGCATTATATCTGGCTTAGCGAGGTAAAGGAGTGTGTCGGCCGGAGATCGAACACCGGACCATGTGCATGGTCGGCAAGCGTCCTAACCGCTATGCCACCGACGCAATTGGTACAATATTGCATCGTATTTACTCAAAAAACCACTACGTAGCATAGGTGACCAAAATTGATAACAGCTTCGTTTTGGTATTAGAGGTGACAATAAATTCAAAAATGCACAGAAAGTGTAAAATTACGACATAACTGAAAGTGTCACCAAAAATTAAAAATAGGAGAGGATAAAAGACCCATTTATTTCGCTAATTACAAGAATAACTTTTAAGTTTCCCCCTTAACAATTTCTCCATCTTACACAACACGAATAGACCAAACAGGGTATCGATGAGTTTTCCAACTTAATTGTGTGAGCATATAATAATCTTTTCCAATGACTTCTAATTCTTCCTGATGAGATGCAATGGGTTGGAGAGGGGGATATGCAAATAGATAGGGTGTTGAGAGTTAGACAATGTGGATTTACTCTATTTCTCACTTCAGTTAATGTGTCTCTCGACTACAAGACTAACTAGCTTACTTAGTGTTACACTACTCACCTAACTGACAACCTACATTACCCTTCACAATATGACATAGTCGTTTTTGAGTAGTCCAGGAAAGACTGTGACGGGGGGAGGGGTGGAGGGCGGCAATTATCAACAATAAGTAAGATACAAGGGATAACCAATTGTAAAAGTAGACATTGAGTGGTGACTGACTGACTTGACTCCCTGATGCAGTAGGTTAGACAAGATATGGGATGATCAAGTAAGGGCAGTGTAAAGAACTATTCCAATGGTATTCAATCCTTGACTTAAGTTACTATTTCATTGCCCTTCATGCTACAAGCATCTTGTGAACGATCAAGTTCATGTAGATCACGTTTATGTTTGAAAGTGAAGTTAACTATTTGACATTTGGAGGTATTTAGAGTAAGATCATTCAGCTTGGACCATTAACTTATGTCTGACAAAAAGCTATTGAGTTTGGAACAGCCAGATTGAGATGTCGCTGACAACGAGACAGTCAGATCATCAGCATGTTTAACAAAATAATTGATTTTATCAGAAAGAGGTAAATCGTGTTAAAAGAAGGGCATGAACAACTGGAACAATGTTACGTTCGGCTATTTAAAGGGTGATTCACTGACAATTTTTTTGCAAACCATCAATATCCAGTATGATGTTTGCTTTTGGTATGCACGAAAACACCTTGCGAAAGCTTTCATTCTCATACAAAACTAAACTATACTGCTAAAATTTGAAAATTAAAATTTTTATTGACTTAAGGATGTGGATGTACTGGCCATCACAGTTCTAGCCCTTGTCCCTAAAAGAGAGATACAAGCCTAGCGAGCACTAGTGTTTGATGTTGGTTGTATTCAATTACCTGAAATCTAGTGATAAATGCTATGTTGCATAACAGACATCCGGGGTTCGATCCCCTGCCGACGCACACCTGATATCAATAGTCGGCATGCAAAATTTGGGCTACCGATATCAAATGCTAAAAATTCCATGCTTGTACCAAGAAACGGTGTGGAATCAAGCTGTGTTCAAAAATATTTAAAAAAATAAATAAAAATAAAAATTTCGTCTTTGTATGGAACACTTCAGAAGTACTCTGGAATGACATCTTCAAGGAGTGAACCCGGAAATTTCACCTTACGAATTTGACTGAAAGATTATTTATCTATTGAGTTTGAATTCAGTGTCAGTTAAAGCCATCAGTGAGTATTTTCCTTCGCACTCTTCACTTAATGGATCCCACTGCTCACGACTTCTTATGAGGACTTCAAGAGGTCCATTCAATAGTCAGTCCTTGGAGGGAACCAGTACTCCTCGATTCTCAACAGTCCCTTAATTAATTTCAAAACAGCATTTATGATTATTACTATTATTACTACCTTGGGTTCCACGTGGAATATAGTACTTCAGCAACACTCCTCTGTTTAACCCTGTTCCCTACAGTACTCTTTAGATCGCTCCACGATTCCCCATAGACTCTCATCTCCTCCTTGTTCCTCTCAAACACATACCCAACTCATAGTTTTCCATGCAGGTTCTACTCAAGAGCCTGCCACACTTGTGATATATATCGCTAAACCACCACCCCAACGTGTAAACCCAATCCATCCATCTCCATTATTTTCCCTTCATATCTGTTGGGTAGGCAATAGATTCTTGGTTTGATTTGTTACCTGCCATTCTTATTGCAGGATTTACAGGATTTCATCATGAGGTGACATTAGTTAGAGAACCATTGGAAAATTTGGGAGTACTAGACAGCTGTTTCGTCCTAGTTTGGAACTCTTCATCAGTACGCATTCACCTGGATTCGAACCCAGGACCTTCTGGTTACAAGGCCAGCGAGCTCGAAGACCATTAAGCCACTGGGACCCAAATCAATGGCCCATGAATTCTAACTTCTGCCAATTCACGACATAGCGCGACCACTGGCCAATGTCTTTGGTGAGTATTTGTCCTCACACCCGACCTGCTGCACCCTACTGGTCACTGGCGACTCGCCCTTTTCAGGTAGGTTGTTACCTCTGGTTCTAGTGAGAAGTCGTGACCTGGATGGGTGCGAAGAGCCCCAAACTAGGACGAAACAGCTATCCAGTACTCCCAGGTTTTCCAATGGTTCTCTAACTAATGTCACCTCATGATGAAATCCTGTAACCAAACAAATCCCTACAAACCAACATTTGATTATTTTTTTTGTTCTGAATATTTTTTGGTAAAATTGAATTATCCATCGTTGTTGCTTTTCTTCACCACCTTTTTCGATTTTATTCCCAGTTTGACGCTGAAAATGAAGCTCTTATCAATGAGTACTTTTCATCTGAAAAAATGGATGAAGCAGCCGAGAATTGTGTACGCCTTGTCAATAGTAGAACTTATAATAGCAACACTAATAATAATAATTATTATAAAAAGAAGAAAAGTAGTATTAAAGTTGAACAAGAATATGATACTGATGTTATAGATCCAGCCTTACTTTCATATGAAGTACGTAAATTAAAATGGAGAAATTGTATCATCAAAGAATTGGATCGTATTAACCGTGGTCTGTTCCAATGGAATCCAACTTCACTATTAAAATTTAATGAAGAATAAGAAAATATAATTTAAAAAAGTGCAATGAATATTTTTCGAAAAAAAGTACTTTATCAACAGCAAAAACAATAATAAAAATAACATTAACTACAGATAAACAAAAAAAGTGTTGAACAATTTTCAATATACATATATACATATTCCATTTCAAAACAAATCAAAAAACCCACCAAAATTTTTAAAACACAAATTAAAACAAAAACAACAATAAAGTAATAAGAAAGATAGCTATTCAATGTTTACTAAGATTTTTAATTTTAAAACAAAAAATAAAATCAGTATTCAACTGCATCAATGTTATCTTTATAGATCTCCTTCTACTCAATATCGAAATACATAACAAGTTTGAATAAAAATAAATTTCTACAAGACGATGAATAAATTAATGTACTTTTGAATCTTTTTTTCCAGTATTTTAATGTTTGTCATCGATGTCTCTCCTGTGGCTCTTACTCGTCATCATCACCATCATCATGATCATGATCATCGCCATCACTGTCCTATTTTCTACCTGTCGGTTGAGAGTTTAATAGTACTCCTGCCTGACTGTATGTTTGTCCCTGTGTTTGTGCGTGTGCGTGTGTTTCATTCACTGTTTAAAAATATACAATACTATTTATGCTTCTATAATTCTAATAATAAGTGGTCACCAGTCGGAGAATATTCACAGCATGCTCTATACTACTGAATGACTGACATGAATGAGTAGTTGGTTAAGGCTCGTTATCAAAAAGTTAGTATTCGCCGGCCGGCCAGCCTGCTAGATTGTAGTGGTTTAAAAACATCAAAGGAACGTTTCGCTCATTGGGGGGTCGGGCTCATCAACAGCGTGCCTGGTTTAACTCAGCTAAGAGAATTGAATCAGTCCAAACCATTTAAATTCTTACTAGCTGTCTACTTGGTCGAACGCAGTGTTACCATATACACTAAATTCATAATTTCCAAATTAGTTCGAAATTTTCACAGTTCAAGGTGATTATTTCAGCGAAGTCTCCTTTGAAAACTGTCGGCATGAGCTGAGTCAAACTGGGTACACACAGCTGATGAGCTTGGCTCCGATAACATGACGAAACACCATTTTAATTACATGATGATTTCAGTTAGAGAATTAATACAGACCATCAAAGATTACTGCAGAGTTATTATGTCCCTGAGCAATAGGCACTCATGAAGAAAGTAAAACACAAATTGAGCGAAGAAAATTTTCTTTATCGATGAAATCATCTTCACAGGCTGTACAGTCGTATTTATATTTACCAGAAATGTATAGTAGTCTATTATTGAGTAACACAGGGGGTTACGTAATTGATATGATTACTCAAAACTGGATTTAGAAGTAAAAAAAAGTGTAAATTACGTAATACTCAACCGCAAAAAGGAACAAGGCGTTAGAAATTTGATAAGGTTAAAATTGCTACTGAGTGAGAAGAAAGGCGGTAGTTGAGTGTCCATATAACAAGTGCGAATAAGGTGAGAAAATGAACAAAAAGGAACATATATGGGAGCCATAATAATGAATTAGTTATTAAAATGAAAGTAAGGTAATTATTAAAAATGAGAGGGAACGAATAATGAAGAGGTTAAGACCATGGAAGAATTAGAGGCTGGACAAACTTTTTCTGAATAAAGAATTCGAGGTTGTATTGACGAATTTACCAACGCCTTCGTTTAGAAAAAGATCTGATGGTTCTCTTCAGAGTTTAGTCAACAGGAAACCAAAATGGAATGGTGAATGCATGAATTTTCATAGCTGTGTCCCATTCAGAAGGAAGAGGAATCTGACTCACTCCTCATCCTCAAGAATAAGAAAGATATGTACCAGTAATACAATCGATTGTAAACTGGAGCGACTTAGACAAGTCCTCATGGAATATAGTTTTCCTTCAAGATTTATCGAGAAAAAAACTTGAAAGTAAAGCAGAAACCGAAAAGAACTCAGATGGTGCTGAAGAAATCGCCATTTATGAACGTTGAATTTTAAGGTGATGACCACAGCTGAGTTCCTGAAGGACTGCTTATCCAAACCACTTGGAAAACCCTTCATTGCGGCTGAGCTACGGAGGAATGTCAAAGTGAACTGGATTCATGGTATATGCAGAAGTTAGACTAGTTTGTTTTGAACACGTGACCTCGGTATTTTGATACATATTGTGAGAGCTTCTGCAGTACAAATAAATTAGAAAATTCATTGCGTTTAGTGGATACTTTTTGTTTACTTTGCAAATGACTCTGAATAATGGATGATGAGGCGACTGAGATTTCGTGACAGGTTTTGACGAGATATTCACTTATGACATTTTTGAACGAACCAGTGTCGCCTCTTTGCAGCCATGCTGGGTGATGTTCTCTGGCATGTTTTGGAAAGGACGCGAATAAAATGGCCTACTCACCTGGCTCTTCAGGAGCAGGTGAAGTGACATGTCCACACTGGAGTGTCATATTCGAGAGTTTATCCTTCATATTGCTTATAAGCAGGAACCAATTGTTGACCACTGAAAGAATTGACTTACCCACCTCAACCAATACTGTAGTCATACACCCAGTCAATAAGTTATTTAAGCTCGTAATTCATCTTTTTGTAAGACTTCAGTAGTAGATACACTGATTCCTTAACTATACAGTAACCGATATCATGTCAAACGCTGACGAATAGGATTGAGTTCACGCTGACGTCAACAACCACACACATAATATTGATTAATCCCTGTCTCTATCTATCTATCTATCTATCTATCTATCTATCTATCTATCTATCTATCTATCTATCTATCTATCTATCTATCTATCTATCTACCTATCTATCTATCTATCTATCTATCTATCTATCTATCTATCTATCTATCTATCAATTTATCTATCTATGTATCTATCTAAATATCTACCTATCTACCTACCTATCTATTTATTTATCTATCTATCTATCTATCTATCTATCTATCAATTTATCTATCTATCTATCTATCTATCTATCTATCAATTTATCTATCTATGTATCTATCTAAATATCTACCTATCTACCTACCTATCTATTTATTTATCTATCTATCTATCTATCTGCCTATCTAACTATCTGTCTATCTATCTATCTATCTATCTATCTATCTATCTATCTATCTACCTATCTATTTATCTATCTATCTATTTATCTATCTATCTACCTATCTCTCTATTTATCTATCTATCTATCTATCTATCTCTCTATCTATCTACCTATCTATCTATCTATCTATATAACTATATATCTATATATCTGTCTATCTACCTATCTCTCTATTTATCTATCTATATATCTAGATCTGCTGAAAAGTTACGTAATCTGTTTGTCAACCTAATTAAATTGATATATAACTAAAGCGTTATTTACTCAATACATAAAACGAAATTTAAATACACGCCGACTTATATTATTGGATCAGTGTGATGCTGAGAAGAGAAATTCCTTTTAAGATATAAAAAAGTGTCAGCGTGGTTGATGTTGTCAACATACACACACGAACACACACTCACACAGAATGCAGGTAAATTGTTCTGAGACAGGAGAATACACTGTGTACCTATCTATATATCTATCTATACCAATGGAGATTGGAACACTACTAATACTACTACTACTACCACGACGATTACTCAGATTTCCTCTTACATATCCTAAAACTAGGTCACATAGGAAAATAATAAGGAAAAACGGAAGGCACAGTAGGTATAGGAGATATTTATTTCTACGAAAATTTAAAATATGTTACAAAAATTTTAAGTATAGATGGTTAGCATATGTTCAGCAGATATGATTTGTCTATCTTTATAAGTATGCGTATATATATTACTGCATTTTTATATATATGCATATATTTAAACATATATGTACCACATAAGGTGGGTGATTCAGGCGATACCACGTGCTATATAGAATTAGATAAGACGGGGACAGAATATTCTCGGAGAGTGAAAAAAAAACCAAAAACAAATTGTTACTATTTATTATCCCCATTATTATTATTAATATAACTGTAACTGATGTTTTTCATTCCGTTTGATGTTAGATAATGGAAATTAGTGTTTCTTTCTCCTGACTAGAATGTGTATATTTAGATTTTAATTATTGAGAAATTAATTATTTCAATTATTTGAATAGGATTAAAACTTTTCAAGTGGATTAGTTTGTAAGGATTTAATACTATTTTAAGATTTGATCACTTAGAGTGGAACCATTCAAACCCGACTGCTTGTTTTTAAAGTAAATCCCAACGCAGAATAATCTTTTCAATAATTTCCCTTCAGGTTCTTACAATTACAAGACGTAATTTTGGGTTGAATCGTGTAATGTGCATATTTGCGCACAACAAATTTCAAACAATCTGATCACACTCCATGGACTTGTCATAGGAATACCCATGTGAAATGAATTAAGAGTTAAGCAGTGAGAAAATAAATTCAGGTTAAGTTAAAAGGACATATTGAAGACGTTCCGAGCACAATTTATTGCTCATAATCATATCACTTGATTTGAATGGTAGTAGTATTTTCCATATTTCGGGTTTGAGTGATGCATTAACCCTAAAAAATAAAAAGAAGGGAAAATCAAACTTAACAAAATCGGAAAGAGAAGCTCTAATTAGTTTAAAACAAGATAAGAATCATTCCTATTGCATGTGCTGGGTGTAGACTCGATGAACAAGGATTCAGTAATCAACCTCTCTCTACCTCCACCTACCTAGATTACTTTTTAGAATTTTAACCCTCTCCCACCCTATTGTGTGGTTGTTCGTTAATGCGTGAAGTGCAATTGCTGAGCTTTTTTCTAAATTACTTATCTTCTCTGGGTCAATCATTCTTACCTTAGCTAAATTCTTATGTTCTGATAATATGACTACCCCTGACCTACTAGTTTGACCTATGAAGTTGACTTAACTCAGAGTCATTGCAGGGTATTTTGTAAATTATATTATTTTGTCCAATTGGGTCAACTGGGTCCTTTAACCTACAGAGCTAGTCCCTGAGTG